ATAACCCGCTTGAATCAAAATGTGAAATATGATATATCAAGAACTATGTAATGTTTTGAACAACCAACATTAAAAAAAATAAATAAAAAAAATAATAGCTGAAAAGCTAACAGACTAAATAAGAAAAAAAATCTGTTTCTATTAAATAAAAATCAAATGATAGTTGTATGCATAAAAAAAATAAATAAATAAATAAAAAATAAAAATAAAAATTTTAAGTACCCTTTTCTAGTCCCACCCCCACCAGTTTACTTTGTGATTCTCCTTCATGTTCCTTATCTATAATTCGTTGGCACCACTTATCACACTGCATATCATTACCTCTATGCCCCTCTCCCAGAAGAATGTGTCCTGGCATCCACACTATGGCTGCCCTAGGATAGGGGAGGAGGTCAAGCACAGCATTTAGAGTGCAAGCTCTGGAGCCAAAATGCCATAACTGGAAACCTTATTTTAGTTCTTACCTGCTATCACCTGAACAAGATAATTAATCTTCCCAAGCCTTGGCATATGTAGCTAGAAAAATGGGGGGGGGGAGATTGTTGAAACCTAAAGGGTTTATTATTTGGACGTGATGATGTAGGTCAACGGCTTGGCACCCTGCCTTAGGGAGCAATTACAGAAAAATAAGAATAATCACATTAATAATAGTAATAGTAACCCTAGTGGAAATAAAATTAACAGCAACCACCGACTCTGCTTTACTGTATGTCAGGCATTGTTCAGACACCCTCATTGCACGACGAGCTGGTTACTATCATCATCATTCCCATTTTTGCAGAGAAAACTGATAACAAGAAAGCTTGAATAACTGCCCCACAACCAGAATCTCAGGCTCTTTCAGAAGCTGTCCTGCCCTCTGCCCTGGTGCAGGGGATTCTCTGGCATGCTAGACAAACACTCTATGAGCTACATGCCAAGCCCTGCAGGCCAGCCTTTTAGTGACATTTCGCTGCCGGAGTGGACAGCAAATGCTAGCTCACTATCAGGCAGAAAGTAAATATTTGGTTAAATAAAGAAACTGCGGCAAACTATACAATGAAAAGTACTCAATTATACTCAAGTGAGGAAATTCACTAAGCAGCTGGGAAATAAAAGCATGAATACTTTGTGTTCCCTCTTATATTGTGCTGTGCCGCGTTCCAAAAATTTATCACGACTTGGTTGCTAACCACGTGGGAAAGTAAATCCTCCAGGTGAGATGCAGGGAAGAACTGCAAGGAAGCCGTCCAGGCCCCGCCCCTTTCAGGTCTAGACCGCGGTCCTCACATTGAAAGCGGGTAGCTGCCCTTCTGGCGCGCGGTGCAGCTCACGAACCAGCTCCACAGCTTTTTCGCAGAACATGACGGTCTCTCGGGTCCCTCGGGCTCGTCAAGGTTTCAATCCAAACAGTCGCAGSGCTCTCGGCTTCCGCGTACCTTCTGTTCTGCACACCACAGCTTCAGCTCTTTGCCTCCCCCTCTGCGACACGCTTTGGCGCCAAACAAGCCTAGCCAATAGGAACGCGTGGCCAAATCTTCTGCCCTACGGCAGCCAAAGAGGGACATTTGCCCACTCTGCGCGACCGTGTTACAGAAAGGGCGGAATAAGGGGGTTGGTTTTTTTCTTTAGTGATGCCCAGCTCTCAGTACAAAGAGCAAGCAGCCTGGCGTTGTTCCAGATGGCTGTTGCTATCGCCTCAACTTGCTATCACCTGAACAAGATACTTAATCTTCCCAAGCCTTGGCATATGTAGCTAGAAAAATGGGGGCGGGGGAGGGGAATTGAGACACTCGCTGGTGTTTTCGTTTTAGTTTTGCAGCAGGGTTTTTCGTTTGATAACCCTCCTGGGTTGGGTGCCTCCTGTGTGGTAGGAACTGTGATACATATTTATTTTTTTTTTAATTTTTGGTAGTTGTCTATGGACATTATGCCTTTATTTTGTGGGGCTAAGGATGGAACCCAGTGCCTGATGCCTGCTAGGCAAGCTCTTAGCCACTGAGTTATGGCCCCAGCCCTTTATACTTAATTTTCATAACGTTCGCTAAAGGTGGTTAAGACTCTGAACTGATAAAGAAACAGAAGTTAGATAACTTCCCCAAGATCACAAAAGAGCTCATTAGACCTTGTAGCTAAGCTTTCCACTTTTGGCTCAGTACCATCCTTTTTCTTTTCTTTTTCTTTTTTTTTTTTTTTGTTTGTTTTGTGTGTTTGTGGGGGGTTTTGTTGTTTGTTTTTTTGTAGTATTGGGGATTGAACCCAGAGGCTGTCTACCACTAAGCTATAATCCCAACCCTTTTATTTCTTATGAGGAATATTAATTTTATTGTGGTTGTCTGGGATATTTTTTATTAGAGTATTATAATTATACATAGCATTGGGGTTATTTTATTTTGAGACAGTCTCTTTAAGATGCTGAGGCTAGCCTGGAAATTGTTATCCTGCTTTAGCCTCCTGAGTTGCTGGGATTATATGCGTGCATCATCATGCCTGGCTTATCTGGCTAATTTGAAAAAAAAAAAAAACAAGTCTTTTTTCTCTTTTGATTCTGGGGATGGAACCCAGGACCATGCTATGCTAGGCAAGGGCTCTACCAATGAGCTATGCCTTTAGCCCCTAAGCAATATTAATTTCTAAAAAGCAGTATTGGATTCATTGTGGCTAACCCTAGAAATAATGTTGCTCTTTTGCAAAGTAGATAAAGTACACATTATCTGATAAAGGGAAATGGCCCATTTAAAAAAAAAAAAAAAAAAAACAGTTTCTGGGCCTTATCCTTACATTTCTTCTAAACACTAAAGGATAACTTTTTTAAACCAAGTACATACTTCTGTCATGGACCATGCTGTGGGATTTTGATCCAAAGACAAGCATCCATAATCCTCAGCCATATATCTTTTCAATTTCACGCAGAAGGCAGAGTCCCTTAATGAACTTGAGACTCACTTCCTTACTTGTAAAATGGGGACCCTAGTGGCATTGCTGAGGAGTTGTGAGGATACAGTCTCTCCCTCAGGAAATATTTACAAAGTGCCTACTATGAGCCAGACATTGGTCTGAGCATTGAAAATACAGCAGTAAATAGGTCTTTTCTCAGATTTTACATTGCAGTGTGGAAAAAAAATATAGAGATACAGACACATTGACAAATATATTGGTGACAAGCACAAACAAGAATAAGTCAAGAGGGCCTGGGGTTGTGGCTCAGAGGTAGAGCACTTGCCTAGCACATACGAGGCACTGGGTTCAATCCTCATAATAAATAAATAAATAAAAGAATGAGTCAAGAAAGGTGAACACAGTGAAGGTGAGTCTGAGGGTTTTAAGTTAAAAGTGTTCAGTGAATACACAGATGTGAGGGGGGAGGGAGCACGACCTGTAGGTGTGGGCAACTGGAGGACAGAGAATTGCAGGTAGCAGGTATTAAAGTGCAAAGGTTCTGAGCAAGGGTGACTGTGGCATGTAAGGACCAGGAAGAAGGCAGTGATTGAGGAAGGACCCTGTATGTCCTTTCATAAGCTTTCAGTTTTATTTTGAATGAGTTGGGGAACCATCAAGGTGATTTTAACAAATGAGTGACAGAATTACATGTGACAATGGGAAAAATAAAAATCCTATGTGGCAGCTGAGTTAAGTAGACAGTAATGAAGCAAAGGTAGAGGCAGGAGGGAGACCATCCCTGCTATTAAAATAATCCAAGTGAGGCATGATGTCTTAGCCCAGGGTGGAGAAGGTAGAGGTGATGAGAAGTGTTGGAACCTGAGTAGATTCTGAAAGGGGAGCTGGCTGACAAAGTTTGATGCCAGAAGAAAGAAATCAAAGGTGACCCCAGAGTTTTAGCCCGAGGCAGCACAAAAACAGAGTTGCCATTTCCCAGGAGGGGAAGCTTATGAAGTTAGAGTGGAAGAAGAGCTGGGAGTTGTTTTGAACACAGTAGTCTGGGTGCCTGTCAGATATCAGAGATGAATAGATCTTTGGATAAAGAAGCCTGGATTCAAGGAAAGGAGGGGACCATATTTAAAGCCTCAAAACCAGGAGATAACTATATGGGCAAACCCAGGGCCAGTGGGAAAGATTCAATACCAACTTATGTTTCTTTTTTCTTTCTTCTCTCCAGCTCTCCCTGTCTTCCTTGCCCCCCCCAACCCCTTATTAAAAAGGATTTTGTGCCAAGGCAAGGTGGGCATACACCTGCAATCCCACCGGAAGACTGAGGCAGGAGGATTATGAGTTCAACATAGTGAGACCCTAAACAACTCAGTCAGACCCTGTCTCTAAATAAAATATTAAAAAGGCTAGAGATGTGGCTCACTGGTTAAGCACCTCTGGGTTCAATCTCTGGTACCTCAAAAAAGGGGGTGGGGGGATTTTGTGACAGATAAAATAATTTTTCTACACTTTAACTTCTGAATCCCCAAATCCCCAGTACTGTTATTTCACTTCAAAGAATTCACCTTTTAAATTCCACAGTATGTTTAAAATTGGCAATTATACCCAGGGGATGCTTTTCCAATGAACAACATGCCCAGCCTTTTTTGAAACAAAGTCTCATTAAATTGCTAAGACTAGTCTAGAATTTGTGATCCTCCTGCCTCAGCTTCTAAAGAAACTATAGAAAGTCAAAGCTGTAAAACTAAATCTGTGAGCTAAACTGCCCTTTATTTCCTTTGCTCTATTTAGAATGGGTTGAATTAATACTTAACTGGGTTTCACAAGTGCAAAGTCATCTTTGAAATGGATTTCCTCAAAGAGGTAAATGCTTTTAAAAATCCAAAATCTGTTTTCAAAGAGTAAACTGTTGCCAGGCATGGTGGCGATGACTGTAATCCCAGTGGCTCATGAGGCTGAAACAGGAGGATCTCGGATTCAAAGCCAGCCTTAGCCACTGAGCAAGACTCTGCCTCAAAATTAAAAAAATAAAAAGAGCTGGGATGTGGTTCAATGGTTAAGCACCCAAGGTTCAATCCCTAGTACCAAAAAAACAAAATCACTAAAGAGTAAACTGTTTAAGCAGTTCAGTTCACTTTTTCATATATTTGATCCCAAGGTTTTATACACACACACACACACACACACACACACACACACACTTTTTCAAATTAAAAATTAACTCCCTGAAGGCATATTTTAAAAGACAAAGTCCTATAATCTCAGTGACTAGGAAGGCTAAGGAGAGAGGATCACAGGTTCAAGGCCACACTTAGCAATTTAGCTTAGGCCCTAACTAACTGACAGAGACCATGAATCAAAATAAATACTAAATGAAAATAAAACGGGCTGGAGGGGCTGGGGTTGTGGGTCAGAGATACAGCGCTTGCCTAGCATGCGTCAGGCACTGGGTTCAATCCTCAGCACCACATAAATATAAAATAACTAAAAAATAAATAAATAAAACGGGCTGGGGATGTGGTTTAGTGGTAATGTCCCTTGGTTCATCCCCAGCATCGCCCCCCCCCCCAAAAAAAAAGAGTCCTTCTGGAAAAATAGCAACTAATCATTAAAACGGAATTGTGATGTTACCTTTTTGTTCATATAAACCTAAAGGAACAGTAATCCAGGGTTAGGAGCCAGAGGCCCTGGGTTGGAACGGGAGGGAGACAACTTTGGGCAGCAGCTCAGGCTCGCAGGGTGGCCACTTTCTGGCCGGCGTCCTCCCAGTGTTTTCGCCGTTCGGACCACTGAACTGAGGCACCACTGGGTTGTCTGCGGGTTACAAGAATGCCCAGAAAGGAGTCCCCTAGCCCCATGCCGGACCCAGTCCTCTGCGCTGCAAAACCTAACAACCTTGCGCTGCCCTGACAATGACGCGAGGAGGCAGCTTCTACCGCCCTACTCCAAGATGGCTGCGGGTCGGCGCTGGGGATGCTGGGCGCGCTCCCCGAGGGACCGGGGTGGAGTTGATGGGGCGGGGAGGGGGCAGAGCGAGCAGGATTCTGGCGCTGATTGGCCTGTGAGGCCGACCGGCCCCCAGCGCTGGTCCTCAGCGGGCGCTGCGGCCTGGGGCTGAGATGTGAGGGGCAGCGGGCGGGCTCCCGGCGGTGAAGGCTGTGAGCTGCGGCGGCTGCGGCGAGGGCGGCGCAGGCGGGCGGGCGAGGCCAGCGGGCGCCGTGGGCGGCCGGCCTTGTCGGCCGCGGGATGAGGAAACGGACCGAGCCCGTCACCTTGGAGCATGAGCGCTGCGCCGCCTCGGGTTCATCCTCCTCCGGCTCGGCCACCGCGGCGCTGGACGCCGACTGCCGCCTGAATCAGAACCTGCGCCTGGCCGGCAAGGGGCCGGAGCCCCGTTGTGCAGCCGACTCGGGCATGAAGCGGACGCTGGGCAGGTGAGGCGATGCACTGGTAGTGGGGAGGGTTCCCCCCACCTGCCGTGCAGGTGCGGCCCACAGGTCTCCCCGAATCGCCGCCCCCCTCACATTAGCTGCCTGCATAAGGATTTCCCACCTCACCCCCCATTCTCCCGGTGTCCTCTTTGACCCTTCTTGAGACCTCTTCCCCTTACTTGGCCTGCAAGGAGCTCCCAACCCCCATCCTTTCCCCAGGCACCTTCCCTCGGGAGCACCTTACGTCCCTTCAACTCTAGTATCCTCTCTGGCGCTCCGCGCCTCCCACTTACCCACCCAGCACTTCGAACGCATCTTTGCACCCCTACACTTTTCCAGGAGAGCCACTGCGGACCCCTAGGCTACGGGTTTGGAGCGGCACGGAAGTCGTGACCTAGCACGAGAGTAGCGTAAGGGGTGGGGAGGCCCCCGGACGCGCTGCACGTAGGCGGTGGGACGTGGAGAGGCTGGCGCCAGACCCTCAGAGCCCCGGGGTCCGCTCATACCTGGTTAGCATTGACCTCCCAAACCGAGCGCACTAGCCGGCGCCTGTGTGCAAGCCTGGTGGTACCCTGGTCTCTCACTTCAGTACTTCTCGGGTAACTGTTATTAGAAGTGGCATTCGCTGCTCAGAACTGCTGAGCCTTTGGGAAAAGGTTAAATGGCCTGTGGGGTTCAAGGGAAAGGAAGGATACACCACATTCTCAGTTGTTGGAGGAAAACCGATCGTTCGCTGTGCTGGTGGCTGCTTACCTTTGAAATCTGTATAAAAGAGTTGGTCCCACTGAGAATTATTGTAGAGTCCCGAAGTCATTTGAGGTGTGTGCATGTGTTTTCTCCCTTTGCGAAGAAGAATGCGGTTATATAAAGCTGATTTCGGAAGTGAGATGGGAGCTTATTTCACAGGGACATATTTCTTTCCCTCTTTGCTGTTTTCTTAATGATTTGACTGTGGAACATATAATTCATGGCAATTTTGAAGCGTTGGTATTTCATGATGATGTTTTATTGAAGTTGGTATGTGATGTTCTCAGGTGTTTCTTTTGGAAGCAGTTGGAATGCCTTCAATTGAACCTGAAGCATAAAATATTTACTCAAATAGCCCCTAAAGAAAATGAGAACTTCAACTTTAGTACTTAAAAAGAACATGAAATTAAACTAGCGCCCTCTAAGTCAATGATTCTCAGTCCTGCCAGAAGGGCAGGGACTGATAGGTTTGATTTCACATGTGAGTATTTTTTGTGAAACTAATCTGTTCTTTTTGGAAAGGTTTAACTGTTATCAAGAGTTTTTACTTTAATACATTTTATTAGTAGACAGCACAAAACTTAAGTTGGAAAGTCTTTGCTTGTAAAAGATCGAATTGTTACGCACAATAATGTTGGGAAACAATGCTGCCCTGACACCTTCCTTGTGAGATGTACTATATTAAAAGAATCTGATTAATTTTCAGTTTTGTATCAGGGGACAAAGAGAAACCTTCAATAGTGTCCATATCCTTTAGATAATCAAAAGGCTGTTAGGGAAATAAAATGCACAACACAGAAGAAAGGTCAAATTTGTGTTACCCCTTGGCTTTTTTTCCTGTTGCCTGTCCTAGACATTCTGGTGCTTGACTCAGGCCCAGAGAGACCTTCCCAGACCAGCCCATCCCTGTTTACCTTATCACTTACATGGCATTATAATTGCATGCATACTTGTTGACTTGCTTTACCTGTGCCTCCTATCCCACAAGAATGGAAGCACAAGAGAGCAGGTTGTTTTCTTCACTTGTGTATCTCTAGTGCCTGGCACATAGTAGATGGCAGAAAATACTTGTTGAATGAATGAATATCTGGGGAATAAATTCCAAGAAGTGGAATTTCTAGGCCAGCGGTGTGTGTTTATAACTTCAAAAGGTAAAGCTAGGTTAACCCTCCACAGAAGTTGTATTAATCTGTACTCTGACCGTCAATGTAAGTTGCCTCCGCCTCCTATACCGTGTATTATCCCATATTTTGACCTTTGTCTGATAGAAGAAAATTATATCTGATTTTGGTATTAATTTCTAGTACTTCTAGGTGGCATTTTATGTGTATATAAGCCTGTTATATGCCTTTGCAATTAGTTGTCTTTTATGGTCCTCCTGCACATTTCTTTTAATTCTTTATTATGAACATTTTATTTTTGATACTAGTGATTGAACCTAGAGCTGATTAACCATTAAGCCACATCCCCAGCCCTTTTTTTTTTTTTCTTTTTTGGAGACAGGGTCTTTGTAAGTTGCTTAAGGCCTCACTAAGTTGATGAGGCTGGCTTTGAACTACCTACCAATCCTCCTACCTGAGCCTCCAGAGCTGCTGGGATTACAGGAACACAGTACTGTGTCTAGATTCAAGATCGCTACAAGATTTTCAAATATATGAAAGTAGACAATACTAATAGGGCATTATGTAAAAATGTGGATGTGTAACCGATGTGATTCTGCAATCTGTATTTGGGGTAAAATTGGGAGTTCATAACCAACTTGAATCTAATATATGAAATATGATATGTCAAGAGCTTTGTAATGTTTTGAACAACCAATAAAAAAAAAAGAAAGTAGACAATATAGTGATCCAATGGTTTGAACAGTTTTCAATGTTTAGCCAAACTTGAATCATTTATCCCTCCTCTTTATTTTCTTGTAGGTTGGGGGACTGTAATATTTTGAAACAAATTATTTTCTTTATAAAATACTTAACAAATAAGGACTTTTTGAAATATATATAACCCCAATGCTATTATCCTATCCATTAAACTAAATTTTTATCCGATATCAATATTATCAAATATCCAGACCACAAACCACTTCCCAAATTGTCTCAGAAATGTCTGTCTGAGCTGGGTATGATGGCACAAGCGTATAATCCTAGCAACTCTGGCGGTTGAGGCAGGAGGATCGAAATTTCCAAGCCAGTTTAGGCAACTTAGTAAGATCCTATCTCAAAATAAAAAATAATAAAAGAATTGTAGCTCAGTGGTAAAAGTGCCCCTGAGTTCAAACAATGATATATAAAAAAAGAGAAATATCTTTACTTGAAAATTCTATACATTCTTTATCCTAGTTCATCTTTTTTGTTTTTACTGAAAATAGGATCCTTTATTGTATTGCATATTCTTTAGTTGTTCTATTGATTAATTTTATAACTAGCAACTTAATTTTATTGTTTCTAATAGTTTTTACTATTGTTGGATTTTCCAGGAGTACTATCACCTCAGCTACAAATAATAATTTTGTCCCTTGTTTTCCAATATTTATGCCACTTGTTTCTCTTTTCTGATTGCAGTGTATTTCCAGAACAAAGTTAAATAATGGAGATGATACTGGGTACTTTTAACTAGTTCCTCACCTTTTGGGGACTCGGGGTGGGAGTTAGTATGGCGGTTTACTACTGATCTATATCCCCAGTCCTAGTTTATTTTACTTTGGGAGAGGGTGTTGCTAAGTTGCTAAGGCTGGCCTCGAGCTTCGTGATCCTCCTGCCTCAGCCTCCTGAGTTGCTGGGATTCCAGGCATGCACCACTATATCCAACTTACTCCCCCACCCCCCATGTGCTGGGAATTGAACATAGGGCTTCAAACATGCTAGGCAAATACAAGAATGAGCCACCTTCCCCAGCCCTAATTTCTCATCTTTAATGAGATTGCTTTTAGTTTTGTCATTAAGTGTGCTGATTTTTACTAAAAAGTATGTTGTTAATAACATTTTAAAATCATTAATAGTGGTTGAATGTTTAAAATTTTAACATCTGTGTTATGATCATAGTAATTTTTCCCTTTACTTGTTAATATGTTATTGTAACAATAGATTTTATGTTATTGAATTATTATTGCATTCCTGGGATGAACCCTTATTATGTAGCCAGAGTCCATTTATTAACATTCTATTTAGAAATGATACATCATTATTTGTGAAAGTAGTGTATAATTTTCTTTTTTCTTTTGCAATACTAGGGATCCAACTCAGGGCCTCCCATATGCCATGTGAGTGCTCTACCACTGAGCTACATCTCCAACCCTCTATAATTTTCTTTTTTAGTGTTATCTTTATCAAGTTGTGTTTTCTATATCTTTTAATATTAAAAATGTTCTTTGGCTGGGTTTATGGCATGTACCTGTAGTCCTAGCCACTCAGAAGACTGAGGCAGGAGGATCATTTAATCCCAGGAGGGATCCCAGTCTGAGCAATATAATAAGACTGCATCCCTTTAAAAAAAAAAAAAAAAAAAAAAAAAAAAAACTAGAAGACTGAGGCAGAAGGATTGCAAGTTAAGGCCCTGTCTTGAACTGGAAGGTTAGCAAGACCTTGTCTCAAAATAAAAAATTAAAATGGCNGTGTTATCTTTATCAAGTTGTGTTTTCTATATCTTTTAATATTAAAAATGTTCTTTGGCTGGGTTTATGGCATGTATTGTGGCTCAGAGACACTCAGAAGCGCCTAGCACATGCCAGGCCCTGGGTCAGGAGGGATCCCAGTCTGAGAAATAAATAAATAAAGCATTTAAAAAAAAAAAAAAAAAAAAAAAAAAGCCACTAGAAGACTGAGGCAGAAGGATTGCAAGTTAAGGCCCTGTCTTGAACTGGAAGGTTAGCAAGACCTTGTCTCAAAATAAAAAATTAAAATGGCTGGAGATGTAGTAGCTCAGTAGTAGAGTGCCCCTGGGTTCTGTCTTTTGTGTGTGTGTGTGTGTGTGTGTGTGTGTGTATGGGGGCTGTACTTTCTCTGCTTTAGTCAGTTTAAAATTCTTTTGAAATTATCTGTTTGTTTTTTTAAATTTGGTAAATTCCCCTATAAAACTACCTAAACCTGGTGCTTTTTTAGAATATAGCACTTTTATAACTATACAGTTTCTTTGAGACCATTGGTCTGTTCAGATTTGTTATCTCTTTCTGGGTTTAGTTTTGGTGGTTTGTGTATTCATAGAAAATCATCCACTTACCAGGTGTGGTGATGCACACCTCTAATTCCAGGGGCTCAGGA